CCCTCCCCTGACTCCTTGCCAATGGATGAGGATGTGTATTGTGAGGGATAGTAAATAATACATCTCTATTTACTTTATCGTTACCATTTAGCATTTTGTAAACCCTTATGTCCCCCCTGAAGCATTTCTTTAGTAAATTAAATAGGCCTAGCTTCTTCAGTCTCTCCTCACATGGAAGACTTGCTATACCACTAATCATCCTCATTACCCTTATATGCCCCTTCACCAGTTCTACTATATCCTTTGAGGGGACCAGAACTGGGCATGGTATTCAAGGTGTGGACACGCCATGGATTTGTAAAGGGCCATGATGATGATTTTAGTTTTGTTTGCAATTCCTTTCCCAATAATCCCTAGCATTTTGACAGCTGCTGAGCACTGAGCTGATGTTTTTAGCAAACTGTCCACAATAACTGCTAGATTTCTTTCCTCTGTGCTAATAGTTAATGTAAAGCCCATCATAATGTAGGTACAGTTCGTGTTATTTTTGCTGATCAGGAGCTGGCAGGGACCACACTGGGCCTGTTTAAGCCACAGTGCTGTTCCTATCCAGCTGACAATCATCTGATAGCTGGCTGGCTCCAGGAACCCACTGGGGCAAGTTTGAGCACTCATATGGTCCCAATCCAGCTCACAATCATCTGATTTGTCCTGAGTTCCAGCTTGCCAGTACAGGAGAAGCCTGGGATCATTATCCTGGACTCCCCTAGCACTAGCAAGTCAGGTGTGATCATGATTTGATTCCAGATTACAAAATTATGTATCCTATTATGCATGTATGGCATAGCAGGATGCCCAACTGTTGGAATGGGGGATCTCATCCCATCATGTCTTTAAGTGACCATTTGCCACTGGCCTCAGGCCTAAACCCTATGTAGTTTTACATGCAGTAATCTTTAGCCACTGTGAGGCCTGATAAGACTTAATTCAGTAGCTGTAGTGAAGCATGTGCCAGTATTGAGACTCTATAATGCAAGCCTTTCAGACACAGGCTGTCACTATAAGCAGGTGTAAAAAATGCCTAGCATACTCTGGATAATGAACAACATAGGAAAAGTAACCAATACTAAGGAACAAGTCCTCATATAAAAATAAGTTAGGACAATGGTAATTTCAGCAGTCTCTAACAGAAGTTATAGACAATGGGAGGGCCCTTGAGACAGTGAAGCAATTTTAGCTATTGAATCTTTACATTCCCGGGGAAATTCAGCAGTTTATTTAATCAAGTCCAAAAATGGATTTGCATTTCAAAATATATCCCTCTGCATTGTAGTCCACTACAACAACAGGATATGTTGAACAAAGACAGGAAGGAACATACTTATGCCAAATGCAGTGTTGGACAAGGTCTCCCACTCTACACTCACAGATGTGTTGAGCCCATTACTCCGAGATATTTTCAAGTAAACTGTAGTGTTGGCTTCTTCAACTACCAGAAAGTTGGTTCTAAGCATAAGAATTGTGAAATAAAGAAAAGAGAAGTTCTTTTTACAATGTATAAATTGGTGCAAAAAAAGCCAAACATCAGTTTTAAAATAGAGCTTCACCTGTAACACAGACAACAGTAATGAAACGAAAATACTAGCAGCCAGCTGTTTTATAGGAGTAACTGGTATTACTTCCTCTTGCTGAGGTTCTCTGATGCTTCCAATTATAAGAATGTGATTTTAGATATCAGGGAGGTTAGATCAAGTTAAAAATGGCCACTTGATCCAATTTGGGATGGGGGTGCTTCGAGGGGCAAGTAGGGTCTGTTAGCAGGGATCAGGGGGTCAAGAGGGGTCTGTGGTGGGGATGGGGAAGCAAGCGCAGTATGCAGAGGGATATGGTAGTTTGGGGTGGCAAGAAGGGTCTGCAGGGAGTAAATTGGGGGAGTTAGCACAGTTTGCCAGGGGGTGCTTGGGGGATTGGGGGTTAACACAGTCTTGGAGGATTTGGTGGGGTTAGGGGGCTAGTGGGG